GGGGTGGCGCTGTGCGGGGCGGTCCGTGGCTTCATGGGAGGGCAGTGGGGGCAGAGCCGTGGCTGCACGGCATGTGCAGGCGCTGTTGGGTGGATGCATGGGCGCGCTCTTTCCTGAGGCATTTCATGCGTTTGATTTCCTGATCATGCACGCGCACGCAATGCACGCACCTGTGCACCCCCCCATCTACATACACGTGCACACACACACACACACACACACATACACACCACTTGCAGATGTCGCTTATCGCGGCTTATCCAGACGTTGAGTGACCCCGCGGGCGCAAAGCTGGCAGGGCTGGTCTGCGCGCGCACCTCAACCCAGGGCGGGGGGCCGCCCATGGCCAGGCCGACAGTGGGCGCGCGCCACGCCCTGCGATGATGGAGCCGCAGCCTCTTTAGTTCAGCCATGCGTGTGCGCCCTTGTCGCGGGTTTGTCCGCATGTGTCCAGAGCGATTTTTATTGTGGTTTTGTGCACTCTGTGGAGAGCATAAGAGAGAGAGAGAGGGCTCGCGCGCTTGACTTCAATAGGATTACTAACATGAGGACGAAACTTGGAGTGTCGCGAGGGCAACAGTTGTGTCTCTGGCCATGCAGGCGCATCGCGCCTCGCAGTCTGTACAACCGCTCTGCTGTGTTACGACCGGGGACTCGCCGGGTCTTGAGTTTTTGTGCGTACCAGCTGCGTGTTGGTGGTGGGGCGGGGGGGTAGCGGGCGCAGCACGGGTGTGAGCGTCATTGGAGGCGCACAGTTGCACGCACAGGCAGGACGAGCACGGCCAGACTGGCCTCAACGCAAATGTGCACAGGCTGGCGCACTGGGGCGGCATAATGTGGACGCATATGCATGTTGTAGTGGTGAGCTTGTGAGGGCTGCAAATCAACTGCGTCTGATGCACCCCAAGGAAGTCCAGCAGGCCGATGGACGGCATTCTGAAGCCACGGGGGATGCAGGTGAAATGCAACTACATCGCTGTCCTCCTAGCATTTTTCAAAAGTCTCTCATTTGTGTGTTTGCATCGACTTCGTATTGTGCACAACGATCTGCCCCGATCTGCTGCAACTCCGCTCGCGGGCCCAAGGAAGCGAGATGTGCTTGCTCAAAGTCCTGCTGTGACCACTGGCGACCTCATGAAACCAGCGTGACACCCAGACTGCCCGTCCAGATCACCTCAGCCGCCGCTGTCCGGTGGCAGCACGATGCGCCACGAGCCGTTCGTACCCTACGCAACTTTCACAACCCAACCCAACGTCTCAAGAGCCTGTTCCACAAGACATCGCGCTGGTGGCAGCAGCTCAGCATGGCGCAGGCACAACACATTGCACGGTGGACGCTGCTACCCGACGGCCGGCGGCGGCTGCTGCACCCGCGATCAAGAGCTGCCACCCCTTCCATTTGGCCAAAGGTGAGGGGACGCGCAAAATCCTCTACAGTAACCCTAAGAACAAAACCGCAAAATCAGCGTCAGCGCCCGCCAAAACGGCGGCTGCCGGGCCCGCTCAGTGCCCCAGCCGCTTGTTTCCACCTTTGCGAGGCGAGATCATAGCCCCTGGTATAATAGCAGGCCGCCGGCGCCTTCCCGGCCCCCTGTGTCGGAGCCTCGGCACACCCACTACCTCTGTGCCGGCCACGGCGTCGCACCGCTTGTTGATCATCACCCTCGGGCACTAGAATGAGCCCATGGGCGCGCCAGCCTTCAACGGGCGGCCGGCACACACCTCATAACTCAGCACCTTGACCTGCATGCATGCAGCGCTTCTCTGTGCCCACCTTGGCGGCAACCTGGGCTCCACCATCCCGGGCGCGCCATGCAGCGTGGGCCAGAGCGATCTAGTGCGGGCTTATAAGGCGTCCGGGCGGACCCCCACCGCCCGGCCGTGTTTACGACCCGCAACACTTTAGCGGAGTGTACCGCATCGAGCGCACCCCACACATGCACGGGTGCGGCATTCTATCCCCCCCCCCTCCCACATCCCCGGCCTCTCACCCCACGCGCACAATCTGCTCCCTGCCTTCACAGGACCGCGCGCTGCTGCATGAGATGCTGTACGTGCACCTGCGGGTATCTTCTTCCTTTCATTTCGTGGTGTCCACGCCTGGGCGCACACGAGGCGGGCTCACAACCTTGACATGGCCATCAGGTGGGTGGAACGCCCTGATGCCGCCTGTCTGCCCGCGTGCATGCTGCATCCAATACGGCACAGGGTTCAACCCCCTGGCGCAGGGACTGACTTGCAGGCTTTCACGTTGCGCGTGCCTTTTGACAAAAGCAATAGTTACAGCCCACAAGCTAACCCACTCGAAGTCACAGTGCGGCCCAAGAGATGCCACCCCCAAGCCCCGCCGCCTGCGAGGCTGCGCGCAGACCCTCATCAAAACAAGGTTTGCATTGACCGCGAGCCGCCCAGAGCCCACTTGCCGGACGATGCAGTCATGGCGAGCCTCGCCGAGAGGTGCAGCCCAAAGGGGCACCGCACAGCCAAGTGGGGCTGGGGCCCTCTGAGGGCCCCCAAATAAAAAGAGAAGCAATGGCGGGAGGTCAACAAAACCAGAGTTCAACCCAGCCCGAACCCTGACCCTAACAGGGGCCCGGAGCGCAAACACTGGACTGCGTCTCAAGTTGGCACGGCCGAACCGAGTCAATCCATCAAACCTCAGACCAGAGCAGGCGGCAGATCGCATCAGATCTTCTATCAGCTCGCATCAGATCTTCTTGAATACGTAGCCCGCGATCATGCTGAGCATCATAGCTATCGGCGCGGTGGGCAGGTCGTAGCGGCCGTCCTTGGTGCGCACCATGCGCACTATCTCGCTGGCGGCCATGGGGCAGATCACCAGGTTCAGCAGCAGGGCTGGAGGGGGGGGGAGGGGGGGGGAGGTCGAGGCCTGAGGTGGGGGCCAGGGAGGTTGCTGGGAGAGGTGCAGCAGAGGGCAGGATCAGAACTTGACCCATTAGAGGGAACGGGATGTTGGAGGGACAGGAGGATGGGTGTTCAACAGAAGGGACAGCAGGATGAGTGATCGTGAGAGTAGATTGGGATGAGTTGCCCAAGGGGACCGGGCACAGCAAGATTGACCCACAGGGCAGGAGGGGGCTTCGAACGCAGGGGCCGTCGGCAGTGAGTGTTGATTGGTGCAGTTTGTGGGATGCGCGAGGGCCCGCTGCCTGGGGGCAGCTGCAGGCACAAGGCACATGTGCGCGGCCCCATCCAACCACCGTGCAAATCACTGGAGCTCCCCAGCACTCCCAAACGGCCCCATCCCGCCAGTGCTGCTCACTCCTGCCGAAAATGTAGGGTAGGGAGTCGCGCCAATTCTTCTTGGTGCCAAACAAAACCTTGGCCAGCTCAAAAAACTCGTCCTGCGAAAATGTTTTGATGGTATCGATTTAGGGGGCCGTTTAAGAGCACGGGCGAATCCGGCATGGTGGGGCAGGTGTTTCTCCTGCACCCTTGCTGAGATGCAGGGGGCAGGGGTTTCACATTGTGCGGCAAGCAAGAGGCGCAAGGGGCGCCAACCCGATAGACGATAGGGTGCCAGTTGCCCCTCCCCCCCTGCCTGCCAACACCCTCACCCCGACCCCGCGAGTGGGCGCCAGCCCCCCCGTCCCGCGCCCTGCCAGCACCCTCACCCTCACCCCGCATGTTAGAGCCAGCTGTGGCCCCCCCCCCTTCTCCCTGCCAGCACCCCCACCCCCACCTCGCTGATGAAGCCGTCGTCGTCTTTGTCAAACTTCTGGCACAGCTGGATCCAGGATGTTGGGTGGGTTGCAGGTGGATTGGTGGTGCTTCAGCAGCTGTTGAGAAACGCCCTGGACTGTGAACAGACATGACTGGGGCAAGAATGCTGCTGCCTCGAAGAACGAAAGCAGCAGGGCCGCCTGGCTGCTCCCCCAAACTCGCCTCCATCATGTCCCGCCTGCAGGGCGAGCCGCCACGAGGTATTGGAAGGGGATGTGAGTGATTAATGAGGGGAGGAGTGTGTGGGGAGATGGTGATAGGCCTCAGATGCGGAAGGCGGAAAGTCGGGTGTGGCAAACGCATGGGCGCAGCCCTCGCTTGGTTCGCTGCTTACTGCTTGCGCTGCTCCCCCTGCATAACAGACACAAACCCTGGCCCCTGGTGCACATGCGAGGGGCAGCCAGCCCATGTGCGTGCTTGCATACACACGCGCGCGTATGCATGTCTGCAAGCAAGCCGGCGGTTCAGCACACGCACGAAAGCGAGAGTCAAGTCTCACCCACCTGGTCGGCGCCAGCACATGGATGGGCAGCTTCGCATTCAGCTGGAGCAGAGACATGAGGCAAGGCAACAAGCGGCGGAGGGGAGGTGCAGGCAGGTCGGGAGCAGCGGCGGAAGTACGTCCAAGGAGAGACCCCCCCTCAAACCTCATTGACAAGCGCAACGCCACATACCGTGGCCCCTTGCGAGAGGGCTGGCACGTCTCTTGCTGCCGCGCATCTCGCTGGCGCAATTGCATCTTTGCACGCGCACCTGCCCCACACACACATCCGTACACACGCTGCTGTTGTCCGGCTGGCCGTTGGTTACCCCCCACATTCACAGGCCACAATTTGGCTGACGCAAACGTTCCTTCCTGGCCCCTGTCACACGCGCATGCTGCAAACACCAGGGCCCCACTGCGTGCCACTCACGTTGTCGTAGAGCTTCAGCAGCCCGATGGCAACCTGATGAGGCGCAGCAGAGTCAGGGTTTAGGGGAGGCGTGAGCGGAGGCCAGCGCAATGCGTCGGCCTGGCCTGGCCTGGCACAACACACACGAGCGTACATGGGAGCGTGGCAGCGAACACGCTGGGCGCACACAGGTGCGCTCGTGCGTGACACATGGGAACGCGCGGCAGGAAGCAGGTGGCTTGTTGCGAGCTGTATCCCTTGCTGATGCGGGCAGCGCGCCCAGCAGCTGCTCGCTGCTTGCGCCAGAGAGGCAGCTGCGGCCTTGGTTGAAACACCACACTTCACAGACCCAACCTGAAGCCGGCGCTCCCGCGTGCATCTACGCATGCACACACACGCATCCGTGGACTGGCATGCATGTGCCAGCGTGCTTGCGAGTGCGTACCCATGCATGGGCGCACAGCAGTCGCTCAACACCCCACTTATCAGGGGCACGCGCACGCATGCATTTACGCACATGCACACGCACATGCACACGCACACGCACACGCGCACATGCTCACGCACGCACGCGCACACGAACACGCATGCACGCGCCTGCAGTCCCCCACCTCCTTGTGATCTACGCCCCCTGTGGCGTCGACATCCAGGTCCTTATACGCCTTCCTGCGGTTGGGGTGTTGTGATGAAGCGGTGACGTCATCTGCGGGGCCCGCGTTTGAGCTGTTGCACATTAGCATCGAGAAGGGTAGCTACGCGCCTGTGGCAACATGATGCCTGCGCTGGTCCGGTACGGATGCAAGGCTGGTCGTGTCTTGCGGCATGCCGCAGCCCTGCTTCGCCGCCCGAGCGCGAGCGCGAGCTGGGGCGGCGCCGCCCCTGGGACGCTCGCAGCTTCGCGCGACATCAACTGCCATGCACCGAGGCGCCCGCTTACTGTGTCGCCGTGCGGAAGAAATGTGAGTCTTTCAGCCCCATTGCGGCTGGCACTGGGGGCTGGAGGTGCCACTCGGGCGCACAGGCCTGGAGGGGGGCGGGTAGGTCAGCGCTTGAAGGTGATGCACTCCCGCTGGGCGTAGCCAAGCCCACCGAGCCAGCGATGCCAGCACTGAACTGCGAGTGGGCGCAGGTGTTAAGAATCGATTCGAAAACTCTTCTTGCTATGGCACACGCGAAATCGATCCCGTGCGAGGGAGACAAGACCGTGGGCGTGTCGAGGGAGCGGTGGTGACTTGCGAACGAAATCACAAGCAGTACATATAATGCTTGAAATATCTGGCGTTAATTGCGACAAGGACCGTTGTCGTCTGGGTGTGATCTTGCTCCGACGCAGCATTGCAGCACGCTTGCAGTGACCTAGTGGCGGAGTGGCGGCCTGTGACAGCGCGAAAGGGGCGTGTGCCAGCAGCAGCATCATAATGAACTGGCTGTAGCGTCAGTGCCAGCCACTGCGGCCCGCCATTAAACGCAACTGCTGGGGATGCTCTTGGCTCATGCTGGTCAACCCGGCGGTCAACGGCTCAAGTCTAGCAAGGACATTTCGTGCGCGGCCAAGCAGAGCTTCGGCAAAGGTCGTCAGCCCGCCAAATGTGTAAAAATGACGGGCTCATTGCGCTGAGCGTAACTTTTTTTCACTCCATCAGCAGTGCAAAAAGCACGGTTGTCCCGTGAAGGGACAGCCCTTCCTCAAGGTTCTGTACAATATCCGGGTGAGGCTGCCTTGCCACGACAGTTGCTGAGCTGCTCCTCGTGTGTGGAGGCATGTGCACCTGGGCTATCTGACTCAGCTGGGCAGCTTGCTTGAGGCGCCGCAGCCAAGGTTCGACATCAAAGGCACATCGATGCGGGCACACAGCACCAGAAGGGCCCAAAACTCACAGTTTGCAAGCCAGCCTCGTGCCATGGCAGCAGCTTGCAATGACAGCAGCGCTGTCTCTGGTGGCTGGCACTTGGAATCAATCAGACTCAAGATCTACCACATTCGCACATGTCGGCATGCGGCGTGTTGACCAAGCCGGTGTCACCGTGCTGCGCGCAGTGACAGTTCATCAGCCGGCCCGCTGCCATGACATTTCGCGCTGGTCGGTCGGGGGAGGCGGCAGGGGTGGCGGGGCGCTGCGTCGACGGCGGCGTGCTTTTCAGGTGTGCAATAGGACATGGACGTGGGTGTTTGCATGCTGTTTGAGCGAGGTGGTGGTGGCGTGGTGGTTGGGGTGATGTCAGTTGTCGCAGGCAGTTGGCGAGGTACTGCTGGTACTTCTGAGGGCTGCGGGGCGGCTGCATGCGTGGTTCAGAGGTGGTTGCCGCAGGGCCTGAGTTGCCGAGGATCTGTTCGTTGCTGCCGCACTTGTACTGGCCAGCATCATAACCTTGCAATCAGGGGCTGCCAGTCCGCCGCAACGTCTCATCCCTTGCTACGCCGTCGAATTGATTGTCAAATCAGGCAGCCCATACAGGATATTATGTGTCATTTGTCATATCTTACAAGCTGCAGTTGACTATCCGAATCATTGTGGCGCAGTGGCTCCTGAGACGCATCTCGTTGCATTACTCACGAGGACGACCAAACAGAGCACCCAGCTGGATGAACAAAACGTTGAGTGCTGGCGATGGGTGGTGAAAAATGGAGAGCAAGCACCAGCAATGTCAACGCAATGATGAAAATTGGTGTTGGCAGGCTCCAAACTCAATGCCCCGCCCCCAGGCAGTGGCCGTCCTCAGCTGGCCAGCCACAGCTTGCAGACAGAGGCCGCACTGTGTCGGTGGGGCGCGAAGTGCAAGGCTCTATGCCTGCATGAGGTGTGCCGCAGTGGTCCAGTGTGGCGCCAAAGTTTTTGCCGCCGTTGCCCTGCGCGGCTCAAGCACAGGCGATGTGAGCCCTGATTGTGACGGAGAAGGTCGGCAGTAGTGCGGCCCTGATTTGACGGATGCCATTTGGTGTGTCTCCTGCGTCACTTGTTGGCGCCAGCCAGGTTCATCTGCTTGTCTGCGAAAGCGTAAAAAAACGACCCATGCAGGGGATGTGCATGCCGCGGCGGATGTGGAGGGCAGCCAAGCATGTAGAAAGCAGTCCGCGGCTGCTGTGCCGCAGCAGCACGTACGATGCGTATTCCCCGCACATCCAAGTTGTGATCACGGCTCAACATGCGCCCGCGACGCGGATGGGCGTCCATGCACCCCGCATTCTTTGCGCGCGGTCCCACGCGTCCAAGTCCCGGTGTATACCGTGGATGCCGTCAGCCTCAGCTTGCAAGCAAACAAGCTCCTAGAACCAGTTGCTGTTGAATACGGCTGCGTCTCGCTCACCATAGATGTGTGAGGTCTTGATGAAGTCCTCCTCTGCGTGGGTCTGGATCACCAGGTCTGAGCGCGGGTAAGAGGAGCACACTGCGCGCGCGTGTGGGCGCATGGGATTGAGGGCGGGACGCACGGCCATGTGAAAGGAGCGCGCACAAGCGGAAAGAACGTTGATGTTGGTGGGAAGCGGATGATGCATTCCTGTTGTTGGTGATGCAAGAAGCAAGGGGTGCACAGCTGCACACAGCCACGTGTGTGCGCGTGTGCCGAGACTGCAGGCAATCAACGGGCGGCGAGGGGAGCGCCAGTGGTGCCACCCCGGGGGGAGCACAGGGAGCCACGGGGTTGACTCACTGAGCGCGTAGCCCATGTCCTCAAACTCGGGGCCCAGCAGGCCCTGGTCAGGCTCCACCACCTCGCCCTTGATGCGCTTGCCGATGCAGCTGCGGGGTGGAGGGAGTGGGCGTGACACTGGCAGGTGGACCGAGCTGCCCGACTTTGGTGTGAAGCGACTGGCGGGCAGGTAGGGGAGTGCGCCCTGACTGTCGTGTGCCAAGATGACTCGCATCATGTGGTGGAGCATACAGCTACAACTCAGGGTGGGGATGGGATCCCATCCCACCCTGAGCAGCGCGCGCATCGAACCTCCAGAGCTTGCGCGCGCGCCGGCGTTGGGCGGCTGGCTGAGGGTTCTGGGCCCACGTGACCAAAGCCCTGGGTCATGACATGACTCACGTACTGCAGCAACCTGTGCGACACATGTGGGGCATCTCGATGCCGGCGGCCTCCGCGGCCTCGAGCAGCAGCTGATCAGGCGCACACCTAGGGGATCAAGGTGTGGGGGTGGGGGTGGTTGGACGCGAGGGGGCTAGGTATGCGCGGATGCGCAGGGGCATGTCTTGGCGAGTGGTTGCCGCCGTTGGGGAGTGGTGCTTAACAACAGTGATGGCTCAATCAGGAAATGTTGAGCTGTTGTGGGAGCTGCGGTACCCGCTTGCTGACTGGGCAGCCCTGTGGTTGAGGGTAGCAAGCAAACATCACTGCGTGATTGCAAGCCAGATGTGGCGGTCGGCCACCACCTTGGCTGGGGTTGCAGCCGAAGCACGCTGATCTCAGATAAACTCATTTATCAGGCCGTGCGCGTGCTCACTCAAAGCTCCTCTCGCCGTCGGGCATGCGGAGGGTGACACTGTAGTTCGTGCGAACCGCTGTGTGCGGCGCGGTCGCGGCCGTGCGGCGTGCAACTGGCGCAGCGGCGGTCCTGATCATCCTGGTGCTTGTGGTGAAGACCATGGTGGTGGCTGGGTTTTCGTATGCTGCGTTTTGTTGCAGTTGTCAAGCGCGCTGCTGCGGAATGGCTTGTTGACCTTGCTAGGCTAGGGCTGGTGCGAGGGTAGGGGAAGGGCACAAGTCGCAATATTGCGGGAAGATTATAAGTGGGGTGTATCGTGGCGCAAACGCGCTGTATCTTTGAATGCCCGGCCGTCTTCGTGTCACGCAGCCCAATGCTGGCAGGCACGACACATCAGATCTTGCGCCGTGCTTTCGCCCGGGATGTCCTTTGCGAACCTCAAAATTCATGATTTCGTTGCTTCAGTGTTGGATCGCGCCGCTTACCAACAGCATTCTGTACAACGTGACTTTGCGACACTTCACAACTTGCTCTGCGACTGGACCTCGGCTGGACCGTCGCATACGCCCTGGACCCACATCACGGATGCGTCTTTACTATTGGAACAGGATCACCATTACGCCTGCCTTGCCACTCATGTATGCGGAAAGCATGCTACCGACGCTGCGCTCGTGTGCTTTTGCAGCACCAGCTGAATTTGCTGCCGTGCGCTGCAAGCTAGTTGAATCAGCTGGTGTGGAGAGCGTGTGTAATATCATAGCCTGCGTTTGCAGTTGGTATTGGATCTGCGTGCAAGCTCGCGCATCACAGGAAGCCCCCTGCCAGGGTAGAGGTTGCCTTGACTTGGAGGCGCCAGGCTAGCGCGGCCCACATCAGCGCGGCCCGCCGGCGGTTGCAGACAGGTAGGTGGTGCAGATACGTGCGTCAACATACGGGCAGGTGGCATGGCATATGGCAGCAACTCTGAGGGAGTGCTTGCTGTGGGATGTGCTGTGATTCTTTTCACACATGCAAGTGCGCAGCATGCTATATTGCGCCTGTGTTTGTTCGCGCCTGAAAAACACGATTCCGTTCCACCCAATATATAAGCAGCTCAGCGCGATGATTTCTCAGGCGTGCTGCTGGTACTTCTTTATGAATGGCTCCCACTCTGCAAAACCAAATAAGAAGGCTGCAGCGCATGGCCCCAAGGCACGGCTGGCCGCCGCCGCTAAAGCAAGGTGCCCGCATGCCAACGGGTCAGTTGCTGAAGTTCGGATCTGTGTGTGCCGTGTGGCTTTGTGGGTCCTGGGTAAAGGGGTCAATGCTGTGTAAGAGTGGTCTAGAACTATTTCAAAGATATGCACAGTGCTGTACATCACACCTTTTGTGGCCACGTACGCAGGCGCGGGTGTCATGATCGTGGTGCTGATGCAACCACGTCGGCAAACAATCATGTAGAGCCGAGGTTCGAACGGAGCGTGGGTTGAAAGCACACCTCCTTTGCGATGTCAATTGCCAGCTTCAAGCTTGTACGTTGTGCGACAGCTGCGGCTGCAGGGTTGCAGCAGCACCCGCCTTCCATCACACAATTGGGCCGGTCAGCCATCCGCTGCCCATGTCCGCCGTGCACACACCAAGGTCCAAGCTTCCGCCGCTTATATGCGTTCTGAGTGACAGCTGCAACGCATTCACCTATCATAGATTTTGGAAAAAGAATCTGCAACAAACTTGAGGCGAACATCCCATTGAAGCGCACGCAGACTGGTCAGGATGCTCCGGACAGTCAGGCCCTGGGTGGCGCGATCGGAGGACGGGGCAGCGCATTGCGACGTGGATGTCTCTCTGAAATATAACAACAACGGCGAGGTACTCGCACCTCCACATCCAGAGCTTGCTGCCGCGGCGCCGGCCTCATCGGCGTTTGCCGCCGCCGGGCCGGTTGTCGCCAACTCGCATCCAAGACTCTCGGGCCTCCAGGTGTGCTGAAATCCACGCCCTTATGCAATAAGAAAGGCTCCTGAGGGCTTTCACTTGCCTGAAACTTTACACTTGAGGCCTGCGTCCGCGTGCGGTAGCAGAGCTGCTGCCAGACCTCAACTGCCGCCTCGGCGCCGAGCCCACCCACGCCCGCGCTCGCCCCTTGCCGCCGCCGCCGCAAAAATCTGAGGTGATGGATGGAAACCCCGACATCGCCGCGCCCATCCCCCTCAACGGCCGCGCCGTCGAGTTCGAGTCTGCGCTGTTTAAGGGCCGCCTGCTGCTGAGCGTGCGCGGCGCCCCTGGCGACGCGGCCGCCCTCGCGCCGGGCGGGCCCCTGGCGGGCGGGAGGCGGTCGTTTCACGTTGCGGTGCAGGTGGGTGTGTGTGTGTGTCAGTGTGTGTGTGTGGGTGTGTAAGTTTGCGTGTGTGTAATGGCAGCCGCGCCAGTCCCTGCCCAGCACTGCTGCCTGTGTGCTTGTGTGCCCGCCTAATGATCACGCGCATGCGCGGACCGGCTGGGGCCACGGCTGCACGGTGCAGCGCCCACACAGCACAGCAGCGCCGCCTTTGCCTCCGCCGCCGCCATCGCCGCTGCTGCCGCCGCCGCCGCCGCCACCGCCGCTGGTCGGTGCGCCACAAGGTGCCCCCGCCCGGCCTCATCCATGGCGCTGCGGTCGGCGCACCCCCGTAGGGCACCTTCAAGCGGCCGGTTGCTGCCGAGCAGCTGCTGTCCGGCCAGGAGTTCCCGAAGCCCCCCAAGACGTCTCCCACGTGAGGGCCCTCTGCGCCGTGTCCCTAATGGCCTTGGTGCCTTTATTGGTCGGAGAGAGTTTTTGTGATCCTCACCGGGCGGGGTGGGGTAGCGCTCAGGTACAGCAGCCTGGGTGGGATCGACAAAACAAGAGCTGGGGAGTTCAGAAGTTGCCCAGCTCGGAGCGCGGGCCCTGGGGCACTCTTGAACGCCGCATTTGTTAAGCAAATGTGCCTGCTGTACACGGGGAGCCTGCTTGGCCACTCCTGAGGGCACATCTTGCCCGATCGCTGCCACTGTCCTGGCCTGGCCCCCACCTCGCCACTCTCATCCCACACAGCTGGCCTGCTTGATTGCCCTTGTCATGGGTGACTCCTCCACAATGAGTTTCCCCGCCACCATCTACACCACCACCCTTACTTGCATCTAGGTTCATGCACTTTGTTTTCAGCGCCGCCGCCAAGGTGTTTGCTAGCGTCAACGAGGTCTTCGTGCAGGGTGGGTGGCGGCTCACAAGGCCGGGGGGGAAGGCCGCGCCGCCTCAACGCGGCGCTCCACTGGACAGAAAAACCGCCGCAGCCAAGCAATCACCATTTTTATACAGGACCTAGCGCCTGCAGTTGGGCAGTATCGCGCATCACTGCTACGCGCGGCGCGCGACGTGCCGCAGAGCTCAGTCCGCGCCCAGCCCCGCGGCTCTTGAGCACGCACCATCTCTGCGCCCACCGCCACCGCGCCAGGCCCGCCGTCGTCGCGCCCCTCCAAACGCCCGCCGGCTCACCTCAGCCACCTCAATGCTCAAAAAACATGCACCCACGCTTCGCTCCCACGGGCAGAGGGCGAGCCGATGCACTTCCGCTTCCCAGTGCTGGCCGCCGCCCAGCTGGTCAACGTGGCCCCCCGCGGCCAGGAGCCCCCCCTGCTGGAGGCGCAGGAAGATGTCCGCCTCTTCTGCCCGCAGCTCGCCGCCTCCGACGGCGCCCCCGCGCCCGCCGCCGCGCGCCGCCGGCTGTTCGACGCGCCCGGCGGCCTGGCGGGGGTGACGATGTCGCCAGACCATGTGTGGACGATCCACCTGCACCAGAGCCTGATCGACTTCAGTACGTACAAGCTGGGGCTGGCGGGGGTGCCGTTTGGCATTGACCTGGTGTCACTCCTGGACCGCCAGCCGCTGCAGATCATGGCCAAGGACGGCGGGGTGGGCGGGGGGCCCTTGGGTTCGCTGCTTACTGGGGGGGGTTCATTTCAGAGTCTGCCAGCCGTGGAGTGGCGATCCCGCGGCGCAGCGGTTGCATTGGCAGAATTATAGTTGGCCGAGTAGGAGCTGAGCAGCAAGGAGCTCGCGGGCAGCAGGCAAGGGGGAAGCTGACACCGCGGGGCTAAGGGCGCTGCCGTTCGAGGCGGCTGCAAGCGCCAGCGCGCTTACCCTGCAAAGCGGCGCGCGTACGTCCTTTTAGCAACCAGTTCTCTGCTGTCTGCACTGCACGCACCCACCGTGCATCACCCGCTGTGTTGCACAACAGCCTGTGAAACAGCCGCCCTCGCCCTCGCTACCCGTCCCCTCAGAGCGGCGACTATGTTTTCAATGTCCTGGTGTGGAACAAGCGCCTGCTCTACTCCAACAGCCCCTCTTAGGCCGGTGGCGGCGGCGGCGAGGGCGCTGCGGCGGCCTCGGGCCTGGTCAAGCTCAAGGGCATGCTGTCCCGCTGGTGAAGCGTTCAGCCCACGTGCTTCGAGATGCCACGCTCCCACGTGAAGTCCTTGAGCGTTGGCTGCCTAGCCGCCGGTGACGCGGGGGCTGTGGCCCCCGGCGGCGCCTGCTGTAGCGAGTGTTGCGCGAACAGAGGTCATCCCAGAGCTTGACTGATGAGCGTTGCTAGAGTGAGTCATGAGTGAGCGGTAGCCTATCTGAGATGGGCACGGCTTGGACGGTTTGAAATGCGCTGTTGTGTGGGCGCACTTGCAGACCCGCCAATGGCTTTCCACTAGATACACTAATTTGCACAGAGAATCTCTCACTGCAGCGGGCACCGGACGGGGCACGCGCGTCTGTGTTTGGCGTGCTGTTAGCGCAGCTGTCTGCCTGCCTCCTTGGTGGGACCCAAAGGCCGTCCTGTGCGGACACGAGGAGCGAGACCTTGTGTGCGTTTTTCTTTCACTTGTCGCTTCCTCGGCGTCCAGCAAGACCATCTCGTGGGGAAACCCTCCATCTTTCCAGCACCGTTTGCTGGGCTGCTGGCGGTCAAGACCTAGCAACGCCGCTGCCCGCAACTCAAGAAGACATCGACGCAATAGATCTGCAACATCCAGTTGATGCAGAATCACTTGCACCGCCCTTGAACGTGCGCGGCATGTGTTATGTTGGCATGTGTGGGTTTGGCGGCAATGCACCCAACCGCCGGCCCCTTTCCCACACACACCGCTTGTAGCCATTAATTGACACCAAGCGCCTCTCGCTGCAGTCAAGGCCCCTCCCGCACCCCGGGGCACCTCCCCTGCTTTGTTGATGAATCTGCACCTCAGCTTGGCCCAAGCTTTGGCCCCTGCTGTGCATCCTCATGCTTGCCGCATAGCCCAGGCACCGCTTCACGCCCTCCACTTTGATTCCTCTTGGCCTCAAGGGTGCAGCAGTTCCGCCTTGGGAGGTGCGATCAGCCCTCCCTGTCTGCACCGCAGTTTGAAGGGCAAGCCGTTGTCTTGGTGTTGAGGCAGTGCAGCCAGGCAGGCACCCAAGACTCATTGCATGTGCATCAAGCCGGCGCTTGATGCAGTGTGCGCCCGTTCAGCTGCCATTGGCTGTGTGTACACTGGTTGACTCGCACGTGCGCATGAGTTGTCGATTCTCAAGACCCAAAAGTGAGCTGAGTCGCTCAGCCGGCAGCCCAGTGCTCGGCGTTCCTTTGTGTGGTGTAAGTTGTCACATTGTGGCAGCGGCTGGAGGAGAGGCTGGGCAGGGTGGTTTCAATTGGCTAGAAGTCCTCACGCAGTTTTCATGCTGTGTTGACACGCTGGTGTTGCTATGATGTCAGCCTGCCACCACGGCTGCGGTGTGCGCGAACGCCTGTTGCCTACAGACACCTTGGCAGCAGCCATTGCCAGCGCCGCTCTGTACCCCACAGTTGTGGGATGCGCACTGATGGTGGTGACGAAGGGGCACTTGACCCACCACCCTGGTGGGCCCTCCTGCAGCACCCCACAACGAGAGCAGCAGGTGCCAGACAATGCAGCATCGTTCACGTCGCTGGTGCATCTCAACACGTTGACATCACACATCTGGTGCCCCGAAGTGCGTGTGGTGCTCGCAAATCAGCAGCCGCGGGAAGCTGGGCCACGCCGAAATACGGCCGCACTGTGACTCATCCGTGACATCGTAGTGACTGGGAAGGCGCCATCGGTGGGTCCACACGGCCTGCATTGAGAGAGCTTATCAAGACCACTTCGATTTGATCGTATCTGGGGCGTAATATCGACTGCTTCGTCTCAGCCAGCGCGGCTGCGTGCTGTCGGCATTCGCTGCGGAAGTGCCGGAACGCGCAAGGGCAACATCTGTAGCCTCATCGATTTTCTCAAACAATTCAAAGTACATCAGAACAAATTTCAGATGCTCAGATCGTTCAGACACATCTTATTGCCAGATCGTCGCTCGTTGTCGTCTGCTTCGCTGCTCCCAACCCCTGTTTGTTGTACTCAAGTAAGCACAGACTGCAGGCACAGATAACATTATGCTCCGGTGCATATCGCAGCTCGCGCCATCGGGCGGAGCGCCACATCGCCACTGGGTTCTGCGTGCAGACACGGCATCGCCAGCAGGCAGCCCAAGGCCGCCCCTCACCCTCCTCGCTCCTCCGCCTCCGCCCGACCTTGCAGCCCGCAGGTCGCTCATTCGGTTGTCGGCGACTGAACTCTGCTCATTCCACCGCCACTAAACCTGCGAGAGCCCCCGCCGCAGCAGCGATGCGCATGCTGATAGGAATCGACGGCTCTGACGCCAGCACCCACCTGGCGGAGTCAGCCATCCGCGCCACCAAGGCCGGCCCAGACACAGAGGCCCACCTGGCGTGCGTGCTGCCCCCGCCGGTGGTGACCGTCCCGCCGTCGCCCGTCGCGACCGCCGCCGCGGTGTCGGCGGTGTTGGCTGCGCAGGAGCAGCAGCGGCGCGCGGACGAGGCGCGCGCGCGGCGGGCGCTGCAGGCGGCGGCCCAGGCCAGCATCGCAGCCGGGGTGAGCCGCTGGTGTTTGGGTTTGGGTTTGTTGCCTTGGGGCTGACGGCAGCACCCCCTTGCTCTGTCGCGTTGTTTTGGGTTGACAGCCTTCCACCCTTCTGTGCCTCTGGTTACACAGCGTGCAGGACTCGCGGCGCGCGGCTGCGGTCGTGGCGGGGGCGCCGCATAGCCACGCGATGCGGTGGCGACTAGCGGCAAGGACGGATGGTCATATCTGCATCCTGCCTGACGGCCCCCATTCGTGCGATCACAATTTCGCCCCACCAGATACCCAGGAGCCATGTGCATGCCCATGTGCTGCCGGCGGCGGGCGGCGCATCGGGTGAGTCTGAGGGATTTATCGCCCCTCCTCATATGCTTAATAGGCTGCAGCCCTGCCCGTGCTCTTTGCCGAAGTGTGTGCCGTCGCGCGTGCTGATGGCTGGGCATGGTGATACCCTGCGCCAGGCACGAAGCTCGAGCGTGCGGCCCTGCCTTTCGCCCGTGCCGCTCCCCAAGAATACACTCATACACAACATACATGCACACACGCACACACATCTTCAAATCCCGGACATGCATGCCCACATTGACGCCCGCAACAAGTGCACATTAAAACCCGCGACGCCTTCAAAACCCCCCACAGCACACCACACCACACCACATCCCCCCTCCCCACACCCCTGCTCACACCCATTCCCCGCCCAAATGAAGGTGTTGGGGAGTCTCTGGTGGAGTTCACACGTGCCAAGGCTGTCGACCTGGTGGTGGTGGGCAGCAGGGGGCTCGGCAGCATACAGAGGTGGGTGCGCGCCCGTACGGCTCCTCCCTTACCCCCAACAAACACTCTCGATTTGGGTTGAAAGAACAGGATCAAGCTGTGACAAAGTCTTGGTCCTGTTTCAATCACAGTCCAGCAGGCTGGGGCCTGTGTTGTGTGGGCCGCGTGGATGTGCGCCCCGCCATCTTTGTGCTTGGTTTCGGCGTTTGGGGGCGGGGGGCCTCAGCGGGAGGCGCGGGCCTAAAGGGGGGCCTAAGGTCCGGCTGCAGCGGCCGGGTGACACTGATTTCAGGGCTGCGCATCCGGCACACTGCGGAGTGGGAGTAGTACTATCAACTGTCAAATTAATGCCTTGATCTGCAAGACTCTGTGCGAACTCAATCCGCGCTGCAAACACACATACACATGCGCGCCACTCCAACACCTCCAAAGCGCTTGTGGCCGCCCTCCTTGACACACACACACACACACACACACTTGTGTACCAGTTGTTTGGGTGCCCCACCCCTAGTACCCCCTGCCCCCTCCCCCTGCCTCCCCCTCATCCGCAGCACGTTGATGAGCCTGGTGGGGCTGGGCAGTGTCAGCGATTACTGCACCCACAACCTGCACGTGCCCGTCATGGTCCTGCGGCCAAGGCTAGAGGACAAGGCTGCAGCCACAGAGCCAGTCGCTGCGGCCGCGCCGCCAGCGTCCCAGGGGCCGGCGCCTGAGGAGGCGGCGCCTGAACACGCGGCGCCGGAGGCGCCTGCGCCTGCTGGGGCCGACAAGGTGGGGCGGGACATGAGGAGGGTAAAGGGGTCTCTGAAGCGCGAAAGTGTGGGGGCAGATGGCCCGAGCCCATGCCCTCAGTGCCGCTGTGCAACCACAAAATTTCACTTGTTATTGGATGTACAATTATGTATGTGGACTGTGACTTCACAGGGCTCAGCGCCATTTGCTCATCAACAACCCAAACCACACCACCACGCCTCTTCCAGCAACGCCCTCTGAACCCAAACACTCTTACACCGCCTCCTCCCCCCCTGCTCACACACACCAAACCTCGTTTCCTACTCAACATTAACCCCCTTCCTTCTAAGCCCCTGCCAACCTCAATGTACACCCCAAAAGCTGGTCCCCAACCCAATCGCCCCCTACTAACACTCAACCCCCACACTCACAAACATGAATCCACCCCTGCAGCCGCGCGTGGTGGTGGTGGCAGTAGATGACAGCGTGCACTCCTCCCACGCGCTGCGCTGGGCCCTGGACAGCCTGGTGGCCCAGGGGGACGAGCTGCACTGCGTGTGCGTGGCGCTGCCGGTGCCCTACCCGGTGGGCGGGGTGCGTGGCCTGGAGGTACACTGTTTGGCTGGGTCGGGGTGCATGTCTGGAGGGCTGCGGTTCGCCTGGCGAGTGTGGTGTAGGCGAGGGTGTTTGTGGGCGGATCAGGGCGCAGATGCGGATCAGTTTTCACACGGAAGCGCACAGGATGCGGATTGCATGCAGGCATGGACCTGCGCACGTGCTTGCGTGTGCGTGCACGCACCACACACGCGCGCGCGTGCGTGCACACACACACACACACACACACACACACACACACACACACACACACACACACACACACACACA